TAGCTTTGTCGTCTCATTCCTGCCAAAGGAGACTGACAAAACAAATGTGTTCAGGTTCTTGGCAGATGTTATCACTGCACTTCATTTCCTGCTAACGTTTGAGTATTATTGCGCTCTTGTAATACAGGCTTTGCACACATTCGCCCCCCAAATACTCCAGTGTTTTTATTGTGATGGGAAAATATTAAATGGCTACCAGAAGATAACAAGATATCATTATCTGTGGTTTTGATGGTGCAGTTCTGGGGTTGTAGCATACTACTGTTGTATTATCTGCACGGCTAAAAGTTTCAGGGAAAATAAGCAGCATGTTGGAGAACACGTGCCATGTTCTAACCCTGCTGCGAAGGCTGCGTGGTTACTCCATAGGGACACGAAATGTGCTGACCGGTGGGAGAAATGGTGGTCTTGACATTGCTGTTGAAGTTAACTGGTGTACAAACCGACTGTGGATACTCCCATTTCAAAAAAACTTGGGGGCTTCTTTTATAAAGAGTTAGCAACATCCTCCCCTCTCGCCCCTGTAGTGGGAAGAAAACCACCCGAACCCAAAACAAACCACCAAACCTTGAAATGGCCACATAATTGTTCTTTAATAAACTGCAAACCTGTTTAAATAAACCACCTGAATGTACTGAGGGGTGATAAATACTACGCTGCTGTTTCCTGGTGAACTTCTACGGGTGGTGGTGTTTGCCCCTTAAAAAGCAGATGCATCAGTGCTGCTGTTTGAGCCTTGAGTCTCTCAGCATGAGCTGCGCTTGCTAATACTCTGGCAAGATAAACCTGTGATAATTTTCTGTCATGAAAAAAGTTATTTCTGTGCTGTTTGAATCATTCGTGTTGATGTTTCACTTTGCGAATTTTTGAGAATACTGTGGTTTTTACCTGCGTAATGGTGAAGAGAAGAAAGACTGGATAAACTGGGACAACAGAGCACTATATATAGGGCTAATTTTGGACGTTTGTTTTCCTTGGTTTTCCGTTCATGATGGGATAACTGTAGCTGACAAGTTACCTAGTGAAGGCATGTCCGGATTGACATGTAGTTAAGAAGAGTTCTGTACTTTGAACCTTATTTGTGCTGGCACGTTTGATTTTTGCCATTCACGTAATGAGGCTTCCTGTGGCCAAGTTTTGTTTAGCTGTCAAAGCAGCACAAGAAATGACTAGCATTGTAATCTGCTGGGGAACCTTTTAGTAATTTTACAAAACTACTCATGAAAATCATCCTCAATGCCAAAATTGTGTGGTGTTTGCCTTTTTATGCCTGATCAGGGGTTTGCTTGTAAACATTGATTGTCTTGATGACTTAACTGTAACTTACTGCTTGGTCTGATTACTAATTTCTAAACCCTTTATTTTACTAGAAACAAATTATTGTGGATCCATCGACCTTCAGTGAAGAACGTTTCAGGCCTTCCCTGGAAGAGCGCCTGGAGAGCATCATTAGCGGAGCAGCCCTGATGGCTGATTCATCCTGCACACGTGATGACCGACGGGAACGTATAGTTGCCGAGTGTAATGCAGTGCGACAGGCCTTGCAGGATCTACTTTCAGAATACATGGGGAATGTGAGTATCTTCTGTTCTGTTTGTTTAGTTTGTGCGGTTTTTAACTCCATGTGATTATCTAAAATGCGGAATCGAAGCTGTGTGTTTCAAAGCTGGTTCCTTCTCTTCCCAAACAGATTTGAACAGTAACCAGTAGTCCTGAAAGGTTTGTCAAGAGGCAGGATCAGACATACTTAAATCATCAATGATACTTATCTTAAAATTGATCTCTAATCTTCCAAGCAGCTATTATCATCATAAAGTGTTAACCCTCGGCACTGTTTTTGTTTTATGACTGTTAATGTTGATTTGTATAGAAATTAAATAGAATTAGTTTGGTGTTCCGCCTCAGTTTACATAAAGTAACTCGGCTTATGGGAAAAGTAGTACTTCTTCAATTCTGTTGAAGCTTGGGAAGTTTAACTGTGTCATCTTTTTAGCTAAAAGGCGTAGATTCTCAGAATCAAGTTAATTATTGTTGCTACTCAGTTTGTGTAGAGCTGACGTACGAAGTTAAATATTTAGTAAGAAATCCTGAGAACAGTTTGGTATAAATATTGGACTCTGAGCCGTTTTTTTCCAGTGTTCAGGCATTTAATGTGCACACAGTATTTGAAGCCTGAGAGTGTTTCTACAGTTGCAGTCTCATGTCATGCGATGAGCTTCTGTGTTTGAAGGCATCATGATATAACATTGGACTTCCCTCCCCTCCATTGCCTGTTTGCTCTTATCCCAGTGGGTTTTAATCTGAATAGCTCTTGCTGTGTTGAGAGATGACGTTGGGATATCATAAGATTTAGACTACATCTAGTCTTTAAACTTAAATACTGTTA